GTGGCGGCGGAGGCCGCGAGCCGGCGCGTTGCGCCGTGCGGCGGCGCCTCGCTACCCCTCAGCACGGCCCCGGCACCGCGCCACGGCTGCGCGCGCTGTTGCACTCCCGCGCAGGTCGCGCAATCATACAGTCGGCGCTCCGCCGCCCGCCCGTCGCCGCCCGCCCGCCCGCCCGGTAAGCCGCCGCCTCTCCGCCGCTTCCTCGCCTGTATTATTGAACTCGGCGCGCGGCCGCGCCACCGCCACCGCCGCGACCCCGGGCCGCCGCGGCCGACCCGCACCCGCCACCCGCTACGCCGCGCACAATACACGTATCAACAACGCTTTTTTCTCTTTTTTAATGTCGCGCTTGTTATTGCGTCGGCGACGGGCGAGTGTTTTTTGAGCCGAGCTCTGCGCATTGGGGGCCGCGCTTGGTGTTAGCCCCGGAAAGGCGCCGCGCCCGCGGGTGTCGCGGACGAGGGCGTCGCGCGCGGCGCGCGAGCAGAGCAGGCAGCCTACCCCCTGGGAACGCGCAAATATTCTTTGGGCGAGCTTTATCGACGTGCCTCTAGCGCCGCCGCCTCCGTTGCCCCGTCGGGCGAGACCACGCCGCGGCGGTGGGTCGCGTAGACTTCCTCCCGAGGGCAGAGCGGGTGAGAGAGGGATCAGCCGATTGCGTCGGCTTGGTCGCGGCCGCAAGCGAACGATGCATCAAAGGCGCGCTTGTCGATGAAATCGCCGCTTGGCAATATCGATCTGCCGTGTGGGCCGCCGTAATTGCGCCTCCCGTTCGACGCCAAGGACGCGCGCGGGCTGCAATTTGCGCTTGCAGCGGGCCCACGTCTCCCTCCGCATCCGTAATTAGTGTGTCGGCGGCTGCGTAGATCGTGCCCCGACGCCGACGCCAGCGGGAGAGTCGGGTATATTGGCGCGCGGCTACAGCGCCTCGCCTTCGTCTTACTTTGCTCACTCCCCGTCTCTAGCCTGCCCCGGTCCGCCCCGCCCCGCTTCGGCACCGCGCCTCTCCTTCCCTTCAACTTGCCCTTCCCCGCTGTCGCTCTCCCGCGTTCCGCTTTTACGACGCTCGTGCGCAGTTGTCTCTTGGGTAGGTTAACGACGCCCAGGCACGTGGGCAGCGCCTCTCCTCCACACCGAGGCAAGACCCTTGCCTCGCCTCTCGCCTCGCCTCGCCTCGCCTCTCGCCTCGCCTCTCGCCTCGCCTCGCCTCGCCTCTCGCCTCGCCTCTCGCCTCGCCACGTCACCTAACACACGTCTAAGAGCAACCTCCCGACATTCACTCTCACTTTCACATACACAATCGCGCGCGAGCTTGCCTGGGTGCAGTGGCGATGACAGAGAGATATTTGTAGGCGATGCAAACATAAGAGCCAAAAGCGTTTCCTGTGGGTAGTCCCAGCGACGCTGCGTCGAAAGCTGGGAAGTCAAGGCTTCGGAGTCCTGCACTTGTCGATCAGCCAACACCGCGGCATCTTTGGGTCAAACGGGAACAAACACTGCTACAGATGCAAGAACACACATCCTCAAGTAATTGCTCCGTTTAATCTACCGTCTTAGATACCTCAGAAGGCGAGATTGTTTCGGAAATAAAGGGCAACTACATACGGATGTCTCACGAATCTGAGATCGCTGCGTGACTTACAATCATAGGAAAGTCTTAAATTTCGTAACGCATGAATAGAGAAGGAATGTTTTTTGTATCTACAGATTGGTTCAACAACAAATGATCAGCGGCGCTGCTAGTGTGTAGCTTCTGTTATTCCTCCTGGGAATGCTGTTCGTACTTATGCTGTCAGTTCTACTACTTCTTTCTACGAGCAGATGCAACTATTGCCGGAGACAATAGAGGGATGAATGCCAATGCGCAATTTTTTCCTTATGGTTGCGAAACGTTCGGAGGCGTCAAACATTCCCTACTTTGCACTAGGTTCAGTAATATTACTTCCACAAGGCGGAGGAATCAACAAATCGCGCTCAAACGTGATCCTCGCGCCTGCGAACTCCTACAAGGGAGCCTACTAACTGGCAACTTCGCGTAGCAGCTGTTGCAATATTGTATATTTCGTGGTACCCCAAGTAATGGTGCAAGTGGTGATACTTTTGGCAATGTGAGGGACATTCGCCAATCATCCGTCTGTTACAGAGCCTTCGGCAAGATCGCGCTTTCTCCTTAGTTGTGCGCTGCGCTGGGCAGCACGGCGTCGAAATCCGTTGACGAGGGCGCGCCTTGGGCCTCGGCAGTGTCGAATGTTGGCAGTATCTCGTTCGTTAATATTGATTGAATGGCGGAAGCGGCAGAAGATGGGGGGCCGGGGAGTGTACCCTGTTGTTCCGCTACGCCCGCCAAATGACTCAGCTCTCCTCTCCTCTGCTCTCGACCGGCGAAAGATGGGAGTACGCGACAATTCCCGTTGCCCTCCCTCGCCATGCGTCGCTTGCCGGTCGTTCACTGGCAGGGGAGGCCGCCGATCTGCAGAGAAAGGGAAGAACAAGATTATTATTCTACATGAACTAATCGAGAAGCCTCTGTTCGAACGCCTGCCCGCCTTGTCCGTCCGTTCCCTCGGACACTAGTCGCTCGGGTCAGCCGTTGGGGGCAATCGAGGTGTCATTCAACGCGACTCAGTCTGCTAGTGGGGAACTAGCGGTTTTTTCTTATCGTCCTAATGTAATAAACAAAAACTTCAGTAGGTATGAAATTTAAACTACTCCGTACTAAGCTAGTTATTTCTAATTCAGAGGAAAATCCAGTTTTCAAATTCAACCCGTACTCTGTTCATGTGTTTAACCGTATTTCTATAAAAATTTAATTCATAATTTGTTTTTATTTACATTTTACTGTTTTTACTTTTGTTTCTGTAAGCTGTACAGATGTCACCAGTAGTTTTTTCAAGTCAGCTAATTTTATATTGTACGATTAAGTCGTTGCGTAATTTTTGGGCGCTGGAAAACAGTTCATAGCTTTTCTCTCCTCCCTCCTTCCCCGACGGAGCTGTGTTCATGAACATTTTCAGTCATCTTATCTGTTACTGGTGGCAATTCCTGCTGGAAACTTGTGATATTATTCATTTAGTAATTGACGTAAAATAAAATTCGTGAAAAATATCAGTCCTTTCCGTTGACAATAAATTCGGCGACATTTAATCTTGATTTTATAGGCAGTATTGTTTGCAATCGGTAGACAGGCGATCGTTTGTACGAAAATGAAAGAAGAAAAGTAGAACGGATAGAGAGATCTCCCAGTAATCCAAGCAAATAATACAGAAGATTCGATATGGTAAAGTGCATGTGTTATTACTTTTGAAAATTTTATTTCACGTAGCATTACAAAAGACGCATAAATTCTGACTGGAAGGGTTACTTTTGATAGTTCCATCGCACGATTTTGTGTATTTCTAAAATTATAAATGTAACGGGGCTGAACTAGGTTCAAGAGCGCATTTATATTTTCTGCTGATGATGTTATGAAAGTTAGTATCTTATATTTTAAACTATGTCGTTACATTTAATTCATTTAAAGCTACATTTAATTCATTTAAATCTTCGTATATTCGTGGGAACTACGTTATTTGGGTAAATTCGAACTTGCATCAAGTCGACCTCTTTGAAATTGAGAGTAGTCACCAACTCAGGTGGACGTGGTGCTTAGATCACCTTTCAACTCAACAACAGGATGTGCCAGGTCACGGGCGCCAATTCCGATCGCAGACATTAATACTCGAATAAGTAAGTATATTTCGTGTACTCTTAGATTGTTATTAAAAGCGCTTTTGCTTTGTTGGTATATTATTCGTCGTTATTTACTTGGCTGTCCGGGTGACGCCGCGTCCATGGCGAATGTGCTGACGTTTCGGTCGCCATTCTGCGCCCTTCCTCAGCTATCAGTATTCGTCGTTGCACGTTATTTCGCGGTTAACCCAATAAAATTGCTGCGTCTTGTTTAGAGCTGTGGTAATTAATAATTTAGTCTTATATGACATTGTGAATAGTTTGAAGCGAGAAAATATACTTTTTTTCGAAGCTGTTTCAGATATGTTCATAGGTTTGAGACAAATTAGAGTGATTCGATGGAAGATTCCAGACAAGCGTTAACGACACTTCATTTCGATGTTACTAGAAGTTTTCTTTGTGACGGGGTATTTTTGCCAGACGAACGAATTTTTTCATTCTCCCTTTTTCCCTTTTATGCAACCCTTTTATGTTGGATAGCGCTCTGGCATTTTTGTTGTAAGGTTTTATTGTTCGTTATTTTTTTCCAATATTCAGTCGTGAGTAAACGTATCTTAATAGGTCATTGCTGAGGAATAATTGTGATTATTTGTATTCTGAAAGGAGTGGCGCAGAAATGTACTTCATATCGTGATGGGACTTTCGCTTCTCTCTGATAATTCTATCTTTTTTTTAAACTCTATTCATTAGATATACCGTACATGTGAATCATCTCCTCTTTCTAGGACTCGTGCAGTGAAGAAACGTCTGATATGGCATTATGATTTGCCATTGAACATTTTATTGATTTGTTTGAGAAAAATCGGGTGTCAGATGCATTTTGGGAATAGAAAAAAAGTAGTTGGGATTAAAATTTTACATACGGCGACTAGCGTAGTGTATTTTCGATAGACCGAACACCTATTGTCCAACCCCGCTTGTAAATTTAAGGATTTATTCTTCGATTTTTTCGATACGTTACGCACATTATCGTACCATGGCCTGCCTAAGGCGAGAAATTGCCTCTTTTGGTTATACTATTACTGTAAACAAACTTAACCTCCGACTGTCTGCTCCGAATGTCATTTCATTGCACCACGGCTGAGGAGTAAAACTGAAACACCCACCATCTGCGGAAATTTCTTCTTCTGATTAGCCTTAGTATAAATCTGCAACTTCGTAAGAGACTATGGAATGTAGACTTCGGAGGTCTTGCGACGACCCTTTTACGTCCGTGACAGTGAAGTTGTTTCCATTGCCACAATCACCACGCACAGTGTGATTGTTGCAAGCCCCTCTTGGCGGTGTTGGGGGTCGAACAACCTACCCCATGGCGGGCTGCGGCGGCGCCGCCGCCGCCTGCCGCCTCCGGCCGCCCGCGGGCGTTGGGCGCTCGGGCCGCGACCGCTCGCCCCCGCCGACGACGACGCCGGCGGCTCGCCTCGCCCGCGCCTCACTCGCTCTCGGCGGCCGCCCCGTTCCGCCTTGCCCCGCCCGCCCGCCCGCGGCGGCGGAGGAGCTGGTGCGAGAGCGGCACGCTGGTCTGTCACGTGCTTTCGATGCCGAGCGGCGGCCCGCCGCCGCATGCGGTGCGCCCACGCAGCCATAGCGGGCGAGGGCGGCGCGCGGCGGCGGCCGCCGGTTCCGCTTCCGCCACGTGCTGTCGTGCGCGTGGACCCGCGAGGAGGGGGAGAGGTAGACGGGGCGGGGCGCCGCCCGCGGTTGCATCTCGTGGCCGCCTGCCTCGGGCACCGCCCCCCCCCCCCGCGACCTTGCGACGGGCGCCTCTGCGTTGGTGGTGGAGGGGGAAGGGCATTGTTGGGTGCCGGGCGCGCGTCTTGGCGACAGGCATTGTTGCGGCGCGGCGCCCAATGGCGCGGCCTTCGCCCGCGCAGGTGATGTTGCTGAGCGGAGAATTGCTGGGCGTATAGTTGCGCATTGTTGGGTTTGGTGTAACAGTTCTTTCACGCGTGTGGTACGGGCCGAGGCGGGCGATTGTTCATTTAGCGTGGATGTGCAGATTGTTGGCTTGCAAAAGTAATATTTTCACGTTTGTTTGAGGTAATTTCTGTTCCATCTGACCTTTTGTTATGAAATAGTTTTCTTTATCCAGTGAAGACTAGATTCGAATTAAAACATAATAATTGCTGGTTTTTGAACATTTATTGGTTTCAGCAAAATTGCATCTTCCTGGCATTTCAGCGCTTGGTTCTTCCATTAGTGTCAGTCTAAATCTAACTGATGGGTTTTAGAGTGTCCAGAAAACAGGAAGAAACTGATCATCATGTGAATCACATGCAGCTGACCAATCATTAGTTACTAATACAACTACGAATCCAGAAAAAAAGTAGCACAGGATTACGTGTCGGAGATTTCGTTTGAATTTATTTTTATACATGGCATTCCATAAGTGTTATACACTGTATTTTTTATAGATTTGGATAGTTTTTTTTTATGGGTTCACTCTTACAATAAAAATGAAATTTGTTTCAGGATTATTTTCCACAAACAATTTCAGTGTAGATTTATTATTGAACTCCGAAATTGAAATAATGTTGTGTTTTTGTTTTGTTTAGTAGGTTTCTTTACAATTCATCTATCATTATTGGTTGTTTTTTTTACTTTCTAGGGCATATTTACATAAGGATTTTTCGTTTTTATAATCTACTTTGTAATTATTTTCTATTTCGTGGATTTATTGTTGCATCTTAGCATTTCACTAGGCAACCCGTGATACGTGAATGCATTATCCGAAACTCTTTTGCCTACACATTAAAATTGTCCAGGAATGCGATACAAGATTTCCGTTATACTTAAATTTCATATTTTAATGCTCAGCTCTTCGAAAATTCTGGGTTAAAGTGCGCTTGAAGTATGAATATTACTGGGCTATTAAACATCTATAAAAATCTACCGAATATTTGAAATGTTATTTTAGTTATATATCCTTTTTAATCCTGATATTTACGATGAAGAACGCTTTTTTTCACTATTTTTGTCAAACATCAAATGTTGAATGTGTGTATCCAACGGCAGCGTAAATGTGACACTGTTGAACCAGTATATAGTAATAATAATAATAATAATAATAATAATAATAATAATAATAATGTCTTTAATGGCGAGGCTCAGGCCATAGGGCCTGCTCTTCCGCCTAACCACTGAATTTATAGTATTTCTGTCTATAATAATTTTCGAAATTACGACATTTTACGCATTTGCCGAGATATTAAATAAAAAACGCAAGCCTCTTTAACCTGTGTGATCACCGTTGTTTGTAAACAATATCGTAAAGTGGACTGGAAACTTAAACAGGCTTCCTAACTTACTATGCTGTTTTTTAAGAAATACAAATTAAATAGAAAAGCTACGTACGTGCCAGAATAGTTCCAAAGAGTACTACTTGACAAATTGAACTCCATTAAAAAAGGCGTCTAGCTATTCCGATCGGGAGCATTGTTACATGTTGATGATTGTGTATACGACAGCGAGGAAAGGACAGCGAATTGCAAGGTATTGTTGAAATTGCAGTTTATAATACTGCAAGCTTATCAAACAACAATGACATACAGGTCACAAAATACTGATAGGTTTAAAATATATTGAAAAGCCAAAAACTACATTATGTATAATTTGCATAACACGTACTGTTATGTCGATAATAGATTTTTATTAATGGGTGCATCACAAAGTGAAAACAAATTTAAATGATATTAAATTAAAATGGGAACAGTTGATTTCTATGGTGACTTGAATATTTTCCATATTAGTAGACTCCGACGTCTGCAGATTTGAATTAATGTGTAAGTATAGTGCTGTGTAATAAGTACTGTGCTCTTACATTAATAAACATTGAATTAGAAAGAGATATTTGTATGTAATTAAAATATCTGATAATTCAAACATACGTCAATATCCAAGAGGATTGTAACTAGATTTAATTTTAGCTATGTTGTTGACTTTGAACAACTTAATTAAGAAACAGTATTTTGTCACACCAGCAAAACAATTCTTGCCCAAAATGTAATAATCGCTATGGTAAATTTGTAAGGATTATCTTAATATTGACGAAGATGTGGCAAAGGACTTTCTGTAGCCGAATACGTAATGAAGCACACTATTAGGGACTCCCGACAGAATCTGCCAGTCTGATTTTCAAAAAGGTTCATTCAAGAATAACGGACACGCGTTTTTTGGAGAGGTGGGGGAGAGTCGCCTATTACGAAGTTGCATGACGGATGGGGAGCAATTGAAAGTGTGTGTGTCGTAATGAAAATGGAGCCTTAAAACACCATAGTTGTTTTAGCATCTCTAAAGAACGTACAGTAACTATTTTTCTAATGTACCTCTAGTGAACAGCAATGGTCATGTCAGTGTGCTAAGTGATCGGCGCTCATTTAGATTGCTATCTTGATGGGTTTATTTTATTATTAAGCGTAGGATTGTAATGTTTCAAAGATGTTTCTTATGAGTACCGTGTTTCAATGCGAAGCGGGACGCGTCAGGGCAGGAGGGGGTGAGGGCTGGTGGGGCGGGGGCGTCCGCTGCAGTAATTACCGGCCGCGTCCGAGAGATCTGAGAGCGGCGGGCGAGGCGGTGGGTGGGCGCGCCCAGCGCGCGGGGTCGCTGCCCTCGTGGCCGCGCTCAGCGCAGCCCGGCCCGGCCCAGCCCGGCGCAACCCGGCCGCCCCGCTTTCAGCTGCAACGCCGGAACCTGCTCGGCACGCCGCGCCGACGCGCAGTGGCTCGCAATGCGGCGGCCACAGGCGCAACTGGGGTGCTATCACCTTCCTATTGGAGGGTTTGAACAATACTAAATGAAATACGCGAAGTGTGAAGGTCTTTACCGTAAACGTAAAAAACTGAAATGCAAAAGAGCGAGGATCTACAGAGATGTTCTTTGATGTAAGATTTTTTAAATTACAGTTTGTTTCGGTGTTGTTGTGTTTTAATATGTTTTTTATTACTGATTTTTGTGTGTTAAAATCGCTTTAAATTAAAAATTAACGTCTTAAAATTTCGTGATTGTATTATTGAGTTTTCATAACTAAATGCACAGCTTTCACGTGTGAAAAAACGTTACTCTCATTCCGTTGCATAATGTTCCAGGCGAATTGCGTAGAACTTCTGGTATTGAAAAAATACTCCCTAACGCATTCTTGGGGCCAAATGCACAATAGATTGATATTCGCCTGGGTAGTTTTAGCATTTATAATAATATTTTAAATTTTTACGATTAAATATGTATATTTCTTTATCACTACTGTGCATTGAATCATTATTTAGTGGCCGGATATTGAAGCTATTTGTGAGAAAACTAAGAAAGTCGGATTATTAAAGAAGATATTTTTCTTTAAAATGAATATGAGACCATAAACTCGCGCACTCTATAATAAGTCTTTTAAAATATTCGTGAGTTTCCTGAATATGAGAACACTAAGAAGACAAAGCACCGTCGTAGATAATATTAGACGGAGGCGCATTTGTCCTACTATATTATGAATAGACTAGATAATATTAAACGATAATCTCTGAATTAGAACAGCCTATGTACGTAGTTCATCTACACTTGTATATTTGGTGGTTTCTTCACGTCTATCTTTTTGAAAGCCACCCCCTTCGAATTTTTGACTTGTTTCATCGCTGTAGTCCACTGTGCGGCTCTCGGCTCCGCGTCTTGCCCCGCCCCGGCCCGCCCCGCCCCGCTCCACCGTCCGCTCGCCCGCGCGACCGGCTGGGCGCTTTTGTAGCGTGGGCCCGTTTTGCTGAGGGCTCGCCGACCTTGGCGTTGACTCAGGGAGTGTAGGATAGCGAAAATTTTCAGACGCTGCGATCATTTTGTTTTCAATCCTCTGGAAATGCCGCTATTAATTTTCTTTCGGATGATTGATGGAGAAAATCATGTGAATAAAAGGTCATCCTTCGGTGTTTGTATGTTTTGCGCCTGTTCGTACGATCTCTTACTTACCTTACTGTGTACATTAACTTTTAGAAAATGTACTTGATAATTACAAATAGTATTAAAAAAAGTATGATTAATGAACGTCTGTATCAACTAAGTTGGTGGTGCAAAATGGGTCGACTTTGATCAAGATCTAAATATAGGGGTGTTTCATGGCAAATTCTTATTTAATGAGACAGGAAGCGGGAATACTACGAGTATCAGCTTTTGCTTAGTTGCACGCTTTCGATTATAACTTTCTTTGAAATCTCTGTTTTGCTGGTTCGAATTTGACGAACGGACGTTTCATTATTTTTTACTTGTTGTGTATTTAATTTTTTCGGCATATAAGACACATAAGCCATAAGAAACGTTTTCCCATTCTAAAGTTTACAATTCAGGAGATATAACTTTTTATTCATAATGTTATGAGAATTAAAGTAAAACTTATTGAACAGTACTAACTTAGAAGTAGACCTTTCCTTCTCCTCGTTTTGGATCGTTTCTATTGTATGATGCATTATTATTATTATTATTATTTTCATTTTATTACTATAATTTCACGGCTCAATATGTTTGATGTTGGCATTTTTTTTCTTTTTTCTACTCTTGTTCTCACCAGTTTTCTTAGACGCTTCATGTGACTTCTTATCATAAAACAGAGAAACA